AAAAAAACGAAACTAGAGTCAAAACCGAAACTAACACTACAGACGGGCAGAAATAAACAACTACCGGTTTGCGAATGGGCCGAAATAAGCACCCCTTGACTTTCCACGATGACGTCACTTCCGTCGCACCAACCGCACTGTATGCTACTTATATATATATATATATATATATATATATATTGTAAAAAATAAATTATTTCCAATTTAACAAATTCTTATTTTATATTCTTAAAATTAAAGAATGTATAAATTCTATCAGTGGTAATTCTTTATATTTTACCACTCTAAATATCGTATTTAAATTTGATTTAAAATCAAATTATATTCTAAAAAAATTATTTTTCTTGAACCAAATATTTACCTGATTAAGGGGTCACCAAGGTTTTTCACAGTAACTTAATGTAATGATAACTTTTTCGGGTATTTCTTCAGGGCTTCGCTTAGCATGTGACCTTTAAATTAAAATACTTCTTCCAATTAAAATTCAATTGTGTAAGAGTCGTGTTGAGAAGGTTAAAGAGTATAAAAATACAAATAAAGTTCTGTTGTTCGGTAAACGAGCACGCTGTAAATCAAATAGAAAATTTCAGCCCTTACTTGGAACATGTGCGCTGTGTAAAATAATTATGATGCTCTCTAAACAAATCAGAAAAAATTAAGATTTATTTAAAATATATTCAAGGATTTATAGAAAAACAAACCCGATTAAAACTCTCTCTAAATAAATTTTCTCAATATTAAATGTAAAATATTTTTAGTATTTGTTTAAAAGATGCACTTGTTTAAATGAAAAATAATTTAAAAATGACAATTGCACTTTTTAAACAAATCATTGTTTTAAATAATAATCTAGTAAAAAAATTAGTGCCTTTTTAAAACATATGCGTTTTGTAAAATGTCTATGACACTCTCTAAATAAATTGTTATTTTCAATAATAATACTGAAAAACATTTTTAGCGCTAATTTAGAAAATGAACAATAATAAATAGGTTACAATACTATTTTCTATACAAACCATTGTTCAAGAATAAATCTGGAAAAAAATTAGTACTTATTTAAAATGCCTTGAATGACTTATAGATGACAAGGCACTCCGGAAATAAATTTTTTTTTTTCAGAATTAAATATAGAAAAAATATTTTTGGCACTTGTTTAAAAGATATGCAAAGATTTAAAAACGACAGTGACACTCCTTAAATGAATCACCGTTTACGTTTTTCATTAAATAATTGCTGACTAATATATATTTCAATTTTCTCAGCCCTCTCAGCAAATTTGAATTTGTTTTCGCAAACAGTCTTTAGGGAATATTTGATGAAAATAAAACTTTCACCTAGTTCGAAGACTTAATATTCAAGGTAAGAGCTGTCTAGAATAAAATATTATAACCTTTTTTTCTCGCTCCAAAGATTTCAGCAAATGATTGTTTTTCCTCGAGTACCATGTACTCGCATTCATCTTTTAAAACTCTCCTCTGCACTAGAGTACGTCTTTAAGTAATTGGTCGAGGGAATAGCGTCGATTGAAAAACTGAATTGACGCTCTTTTTGACAAATAGTTTGCTTCGTGAAGCACAAAGTTTACCCTTTTTTATTATACACAAAAGACTTATAAGCTGTATTATCATTCTCATAATCTCAGAAGGTTTGAGCAAAAATAAAAGTGATCTTTTTTTCCGCTGTAAAAAAATGAAAGATTAAATTTTAATTATGAACCTAAGAGATGAGTAAGTAATTATTAAATTTGATGAGTATTTTAAAGGTATTTTTTAAAATATTAATATATTAGCCATTTAATACAGAAGTATGTCGTATTATCAGACCCGAAACAGCAATTGTATTAAAAATTCCTTATTTAAAAATGTATCATAACAACTACAGTTTTTTAGTAAATTTAAACGTGGTAGTGCCAGTTGCTGAGCACACTGTGTGGACACTGTGTACACTGTGTGGTTACTTTATTACGACCTCTTCTCAATCTTTCGTTTGGCTTCCTTTTTGTTGGAATCATGATTCTTAGTATATTTTTTTCATGTGGGTTATACGAGATGTTGGTTGAGGATTTCTATTAAATGACGGATTTATTTTGATTTTAAATAATGAAAAAGGGGATTTAAAAAATAAATGTACCGTTTGCTGCATTGTTATCAGAAGGACAATATTTTTTGGAAAAAATACATTGCGATCAAATAGTTCTGAATTTAGTCAAAAGATAACATTAATGGTCAGCAAACTGCTGTTGAAGAAACAGGACATAAGAGTAGCAGCACATGCCCTTTCCTCGTCTTCTGATTGAAATTAAATTACCCGACATTCTTGCAATGGCTGCTGAAAGATAGGTCGTTCAAAGCGTTATAAGATGTTGTACTTTTTTCTATGTTTATTGCTTTTTTTCAAGGAGCATTTTTTCTCAAATCATGCTTTCAGTATTCAAGTTCACAATGAGTCAGTCATTTAGTGGCGAGTTCATATTACTTTGTAATAATGCGAGGCTGGATGATTGTGGCTCGAGGTGATGGATCGTTCTTTCAATTTCACCTTAACCTATAGTATTGAGAATTAGAGATTGTCATGACTAAAGCAACTAATTGAAGTCTTGATATTATGCCCTTCAACCAAACCTTTTATTAACAGCAGTATGAAAGGACGCAGTACCCTATTAAATCTACTCCTTGACATTGGGATAAATCATCAATATGACATGACTTCCTTTGTCAATAGTAATGATTAGGTATTAAGTCTAATTTAGACTACCATGAACAGGAAATAAAGGTCATAAAGCATATTGACATTACCTCTAGAGGTAATCCTAGGATGAAATGGTAGCTCATTTGTATAAAACTCTCAGATGGCTATAGTTAAATCGCCAATCAATATGAATTTGAGACATTAATTTGGGAAGTTGCTATCGATTTACAACTATCAAGAAAATGTTACACAGTTAAGACCTTTTTTTTAGAATTGAGTTTGATTGACTTATCCTTACTTTTTACCAAAATAGTTTTCATTTATTGTTGATAACATATTTTTGCACAACGATTTAAAATATTTAGTTATATTTCAACAACTAGTTGCTGTGTCAGTTAAACAATAAGAAAAATTGTAATTTAATAACTGATGACCATCATTGAAAACCACTTGTGAAGTGATATGTCATGTTTTTCGAACATGTGTCCCTCATTATATCATTAACTGTGTCTGAAATATTTTAGTTTTTGTTGATTACATAATGAGGTGTTGATTTTGTAACGTTATAGAATGTATGTTTAGTTTTTAACTACCCATCTGTGTGTTAAAAAAATAGGAAAAAACTGGAATTTAATAAGTACTAATGTGTTCAACCGATAACTATGTTCCCTTATGTTTCTTTTAAAACAACTATGACACTAGAATGATGATTCCTAACCACCTCTTTAAAACGCGTAGAAATGCATTTTACCCTGATTTCCACTCTCGACCACTGTGGTTTTTCTAGTTTTGTTTCACATATTTATTTTAGTTGGAAAATTTGCGTTTTATATTTCAAACCACTTTTGTTTTTTCTCATTCACGTCTGGTAAAGTTTGAAAATGGGCGCCTATTTTTGAGCGCTTGAAACATGTCACTTGCTATTTCCAATTTGTATATTTTGAAGCGAATGAATGAAATTTTGACTATGTTACTCAATAAAGTTTTTATACAGTTATTTTTTTACTAACAATTATTATTTTTAAAAATAGTAGTAATGGTGAAAAAAGTGTTTCTTAAACTTGATGTGACTATTACTATTTTTTTTATTTATCTTACTTCCAATTTATAATATTTTCAATATTCATCGTTATTAAATGCTTATTAGTTGGGTTCTTAAGTTGTGGTATCTTACTTTCCTCACAAGAAACTGAATCGGAGAAATATTGCGAATAAATCCAATTAGTTTTGTGGCGGATCTAATAATTCCCGATAATCAATCTCAAAGAGGGCAACGTGTCACTTCTGCTAGAATGATTCATTTTAGGAGAAAACCGACCAAAAAATTAGGCCTAACTTCTGATTCTGATTGTAATGTTATTCATTGGCGAATTATCTAAAGATACATTTTTTAATTAATTACTTGTAGTTTACTTTCAAACATAATGAATAATGCGTTGTAAAATTTTGTTAGTTTAACATATTTATTACTTAATAGAGGTTTAATTTAAAAAAAATTATGTTGTTTATTAATTTCTTATTTACATACGTCGAAGAGTAATTGGAAAGACTTGCTTTTTGTAAATATCGCTGGCATTTTATAAAGCAATTTGCAATTTAGAAAAATTTTCATAGTATTTTAATTTGCTTCATATATTTCGGATTAGTTTTTTTTAACTAATTAAGAAATAGTCTGACATTGACAAAATCAGACTGTATTAACACAGGCCAATTGT